CTCTCTCTCTCTCTCTCTCTCTCTCTCTCTCTCTCTCTCTCTCTCTCACACAAAGCAAGAGGCCAACGGTGAACTCTGTTCCACAGATGCTAAAACGTAAAATCGAAATTTCATTTCGGGACTGATGATAGCCGTCGACACGCTTCTCAGAATAGGCATCCGACTGCCAAATCACACAGATAAAGTTTGCTGCTTTTTTTCATTTTACTTTCTTCCTTCCTTTGGGGATGAGCTGTTCTGCTTGAACTGAACACGTTACTGAATGAAATGTTACTTGAAACATAATTAATGGACAGTTTTGAGAATTAACTGAACAACTGTTTCAGCACGAGAACAGACATCCACTAAAGCCCATCACAGAAGGCCCACGCTGTTCCCCTTTCAGTCATTCATCTCTATGCAACGGCACTGTTTTGTTTCATGTTTTGTCAAGATAACATCAAAGCTGGCCGGAGCAACAAGTTACTATCGACTAACAACTGAAGCTGAAAATGTGCCTTTTCTTCCTTGTTCGCCGTGGGTCTGTAGTTTCCCTGAACACGTGATTTAAGACGCAGGTGTGCTTCCAAGAGGAAGTGAGCACACTTGATCCGAAATATGACAAAACAACCAGGGCTGGTTAAACGACGAGAGCTCAGAGCAGCGAGGCTCAAGCGGAAACGTCACAAGACCGCCTCTCCCTCCTGGAGCGTGACAGCCCGGCGGACAGAGAGCATTCTTTCCACTCTAAGGAGAGAGGGCAAACTCATTGCCCTCACTAACTAGCTGGGCCCAGAGCAGCTCGAACCCGGGCCTATCGAGAGAAGATCACTGAGACACTAGCTGGCACATCACACCAAAGTACAAGGGTCAGAGGAAGGTAATAGGTTACCTGAGAGGAGGCTTTTAACCGGCTTATGAGATCCTCCTTGTTGCTCTTTGGCTAGAGACGACTGTCTGGAGTTAATACGTCTTAAGACGTGCAAACAGGCGGCTTAAAAGCACCGAGGTTTTTCAGGTAATGGACTCGGCAAGACAAGAACTTACATCGCCAGCAGTCTCGGTTTAAAATCAGCAAGTTATTTCTGGCTAATGAAGCAGAAACACCAATTAAAAATGTTGTTTTTAATAGCAATGGTGAGAGAGAAGATCAGGGCGTCCTTGAGCGAGACGATGACTCCCTACCGGCTCTGGTGCTGCTGACGATGACCTCGAGCCTCTTTATGGAGGAAGGCCTTCTTTGCACCGTGTAGTAATAAATATATATGTGACCATTCACAGACAAAGCACTTGAAATAGTTGTAGAAGTTGAGGTGTTGGAACGCGGAGTTGAAATGTCAGTCAAAATGCAGGTGATGAATTGACGAGTTGGTATGAACAGTCAGAAGTTGCAATGTCAGCCAAAAGGAAGCGTAGGTGATAAATTCACCCTAAAGTGTCCGTTTTATAAGTGCCAGTTCAAGTGCAGACACTGAAATATGATGTCAGTTGAAGTGTTGGCTGAAGTGTAAGTGGCTGCATTACCGCTTGAGGAGCGGGACATAAAATCGGTTGAGAGGTTAGTTGACTGACTTCACTGAAGAGCTTTGCACTCGTGTATCACAGCAGACATGTCAGAAACGGTCACATTTGTTGCTCTTTGGGGTGGAAACACTCCTCTCACTGAACCACTGCGTTTTCTCACACCCGTCAAAATCCCCAAAATGTGACTTTTAGCCTAAACAAGCAGCGACTCCTTCAACAGCCCCGCTGCTGCTGCTCCCTTTGGCCGATCTACTTCCCTTCCCTTTGTCACCTGACAGAGCCTTTGAACGCCCCGGCGGTGGTGACAAAGTGCAAGTTCAATGTACACAAAGCCACAGTGGAGCCGTGACCTACTTTCTACCTGCTGCCTGTAGCAGTTAGTAGGAGGCAACGGTCAACTCCACTCCTCTTTTCCAGCCGCCGTCAGGGCCAAGCCAAGGTCAAGAAAGGCATTTCTCTTCTTCTGCTGCTGCTGCTGTGTTTCCACGTCTGTCAACCGCCCCGGTGCCGATGCGTTCCTGCTCGAGCAATCCTGCGGTTATTCAGTTATGAAGCGGACATTCCTGCAGCCACCTCAGGTAGCAAGAAAGAAACTTTAAATATGATCAGTACAAGAGGAAGTGCCATTCTAGGCCCTGCTGGGACTTGTGCCTAGACTCTAGTAAGGGGAACATCACAGGCATGCCATGAATCACCAACGTGGTGATGATGGGGGGGGGGGGGGTTTAGTTAGACTGCTGCTGGCTGGCAAACGGTCAAATGCTGAGGCGTCAATATGCGAGCACCTCCACAACACAGGCATCTCACGCAACTCTGTGTCCTAGTGTTTGGGTCACACAGATGCAGACTTTGCATATTCAGAGAGAACCCTGGGTAAAAAGCGAGTCACGTGCCACTGGAGCTGGTCCGTAACTGCTCCTTGGCTTGCAGACACCTGCAAGGTTAGACAGGCTCCAGGAGAGCAGAGTCTGATTATCTGGCGTCAAGTAGGGGGGAGAGGGGAAGAGGAGGAGAGGAGGGGGGGTATTGTATTCCCAACTGTTGCATCCGACCTATAATCGGGTCAACTTTCGAGCAAGAAGCACACATCACCACACATAACAAAAGAAATGTCCTCCTGTGTATCAGCCCGTGCAGTGATACGTGGCTGCCTCTCTTTCCGCGGTTGGAGAACACACGATGAAAGGTGTAGAGGCATATATACGGAAAATATACGATATGTTTAACAGAGGAACTAATACTCACACGCAGCTTAAATGGTTTAACTTCTACGTCTTATTCTCACGATAAACTGCGCAAAGTCTCAGCTCTCTCCACGTTCAAACATGTAAAAACACTTACCAGCTGTTTACGCTGCAGCGAGAGACAATGTTGACATGTAGGCAACTTGCTGTTTTTTTTTTACCCGCTTGGTATATTCCGTATTTCTATTTCTGCAAACAGGTTGAAAACGGCACGGCGGGCGCAACAGAAATAAATAAAAAGGCACTTCGCAAATACTCCTTTGAAACTTTGCTGGACACTTCTTCGCCACACTTTCATCTGAAGTTGTCGGCGGAGGCGGGCGCCATGTTTGAGACTGCGCTGAGTTTTGTTAGTGGGCTTTCTTCCTAAACGTCTCTCTCTCTCAGGCTGGACCCGCCCAGAGAGGAGGAGAGGCCACGGTACGGTCCTTGCTGCGACTGACGGAGGCTGGACTCCGGGAGCGCTGTCAAGCTAGCCGACATAAAACCAGCCATTTCCGGTGTGCCATTTCAAAGTAAACATGTGGGTCGCAGTTTTCAGAATAAAGTAATTTATTTTTGTTTAACACAAAGGGACATTGTCAATAAATATGAACTGTTAATTATAATATAGTAATTAATAGTATTGGTAGTAGAGGCACTACTTACTAACACAATTACAATATATTATATATTGTATAATACATTGTTATATATTATGTCTTGTTTTATTAATTAGTCAAAGGTGTTCTGCCGTAATGTGAATTTCCCCTCTGGTAATCAAGTGACATTTTCACACTTTCTACAATGAAAGTGTCTCCTGTCACAGGCAAAACACCTGTTGTGATGAGACTGGTGTGCAACAAGCACAGTGCAGCAGCTAGGCCTTGACATCTGATTAAATGCCCAATTCACCCTATATTTCAATATAGTTGATTCCAAATATATACTGTATTTCTACCAGTTCATTTTAATAGGGTATGCAATATGCAACACATACTTAACAGACCCTAAAATCTATAATTCAACAAAGGCACATTTTGCTTTTTATTGTAAAGTCTACATAGTCATCCTGGTTGTCACCGCTGGCTTGACTCTTGTTTCAAGGTGTTTAACGTTTTGAGACATGATTCAATGCATAAAACGCATGTTGGGCTTAATATTCAATACAAGCCATCAATTTAAAACCGAGCACGCCCTTTTGTGAAATTGGTTTCAGCTACACGGCATCAATCCTAGAGAGTATTTTTGCTTCTGTATTTCCAACTGTAAAGTTCCTTTCATAGTCATGGTTGCATACATAAACACTTTACGTAATGTAAATACTGATTCAGAACCATGTTAATGCAAATAAAATGTTAGCCGTAAGAGGCAGGCTAGCTTTTCATGAATACTCTCTTCTGTGACCCAACATTTTAATGCACAACCAGATTTTGGAAATTAAAATGTTTCAGGAGTTTGGTCGCTCTCTTCGCAAGCATAACAAGGAAGTAAACCCTAAATTATGTATACACAAGTTTAAAAAAAAAAAAAAAAAAAGCCAATGAGCCATACGTCACAATTTTATTAAAGCAGTTCATGTCTTACTATTTTAAATAAAAGAAACAAGCATGAAAAAGAAATTAAGTATGAAAAACGGTTATTTTACAGCTATGAACAAATATTACATTATTAAAATCAGAGTAGACGAGGCTGAAAAGTGATTTCAATATGAATGTATTCAACACTTCATGTCATCTATATCGGTGAGAACGTGATCAGTTGTGGGAGGCTGTACTCCTGCTTTTTCGGGGGTGAAGGCGTCTCCAGCGCGTCTAGGTCCAGTGAGAAGACCTTGTCTGTGGCTTCCACCGACTTCGCAGGCTCCATTTGCCAGTCTTTGTCTTCTGTCGGATCACAGGGTTTCTGGTTAAAACACTCGGGTGTCCTCTTCCTGCTTTCCTTAAAGGAGCCATTACCGCACTCCTGCTGGATCTGAGCCAGATGATGACGCGTGGTCAGTGGCCATTGAGTCGCCTCGGTCTTCAAGGAGGGGATCAGGAGCTCCTCCTCCTCGCTCTTCATGTCCACCGATTCGTCGTCGAGGCTCAGCAGACTGTCACAGCTCGGCATTTCAGGGAGCGTTTCGAGGTCGAGGCTGAACTGGACCTCACTGCTGCCTGTGCCACTCGGGCTGTCGAGGGCCATGTGGAAGGTGTCCCACAACAGAGTGGGTTTGTGGGAGACTCCCTGCTCATCGAGGGGAGAGAGCAACTCCTTCATGCTGTCGTTGAACTTCACTAATCGCCCCATTTTCTCAGCTTTGTCTTCCTCAACTGCCTTGCGCCAGGAGTTCTTCACATCCAGAACTTCAGGAAGAAAAAAATAATTTTACCAACTGATGGACCACCAAACATTCACACCATGCCAGTTTCATGAGACTGCATTCTTTAGTTATGCCATTCTAAATAAGCTCATCCCTTCATTATTTTCCCTTGATGGGTTTGCACAGACTTTCCCTCAATTTAAGGCGGAGGGCAAATGCTTCAACTCATTACTTACTCAAGCTCTCAGGTGTGCGTGTCAGCTGCTTTCTAGTAGAGAAGGGATCTCCATGAAGAGTGCCTAGAAGGCCATCCAAGTCCAGACCTTGGACTCGGCCTTCTGCGGGACTGGCTGTAGTTACAGCATCTGCAAACTAACACACACACACACACACACACACACACACACACACACACACACACACACACACACACACACACACACACACACACACACACACACACACACACACACACACACACACACACAAAGTCAGGACTGTGTCACTATAAAATCCTCACCCCATATGTACGTCTCATGAGGTCACTACCCGCCTCATTCCAGACTTGGATATAGTAATACAGCTTTAAAAATAAAAAAAAATCCTTCCTCAATTATATAACCAGACAAAGACCGTATTCATAATTCTAAGCTCCTGTATAGCAGCCTTTAAAAGTCATACCCGATCAGCGAGGTTATCACACTCCATGTCTAATATTGTGGTCTTGGTCCTCATTGGAGCCACCTTCTGGTGAAAATGGGCCGTCTTCCTCACACTGGCCTAAAAACCAAGCACGGCATTGTTAAATAGGGTTTAACACACAAATTTGAGTTTAACTCAAAACAGAGATCAGCTAAATATACTACTAGCCTGAGGTGGTGGTACTGATGGAGCCTTCAGAGGAGGGGAGGAAGGTGGGTCGAAAAGCCAGGCGAGGGAGCTATTCGCTTGTGACGACGCATGAGTAGCGACGACAGGACTTTCACTCCTCACAGCTGTAGCAGGGCCAGAGCTGTTTCAAAGACAAAAAGCTTGATTTGTTATTCAGTAACAGTTTGCACACTGACGCACTGTCTGCACAGTAAAGTGTCATTTCCCCCATTATATTTCCCTCACAATGCAGTGAAGCTCAGGTACAGTGTCTGTAGCCAATCACAGCTCACTATGTGGCCTTGGCTCAGTGCGAACTCTAAGCCAAGTCGGCACATTGCCCCACGCCCGTCTTCAATTCCACTGATGAATGGATGAGCGACTTCAAGGTCAGGCTCTTATTTTAGTAGCTTACAATGTCTGCAAGTAAACCAAGGTTTGATTACACCTCAGAAAAGCTGCTTTATTTCTTGTGATGTGTAATAAGGTTCTTTTTAGACCCAATGTCTAAACAATGACACTACCAAGTTCTGCAGAATTACAGTGTCTGCTCCGTATCTGTCCGTTGCGATTTCTCTCAATTCGCCTCGGTCATCAGAGAGCATGGATGCTGTAGGGAGGACTAGTGACGGACAGAACACTGCTCAGGACTGCCCAGGTATCTGCCTCCCATCAGACGACAATACAACAAAAATGCAACATTACATTACCTCTTAAGGTTAGTAGGACTTGGTGGGATGCCCTCTGGTGATTTACTCTCTGCAGGCTTCTCTGAAAGATTTTAAGAAACATGATTAGAAATAAAAACTGATGTTACAGACCCAAATGAATGCATGCCTAATATGCATGTAATCAGATTTTGCTAACCAAGAAGCGTTGCAGGGTACTGAGAGAAGACACTACTTCTGTAGATAGCTTCAGCCGCCGGTTCAAAAGACAGTGGAGCCATTGGTGAGAGGAAACCCAGAGCCTAAAAATAGTAAATTAAATATTAGACATGAAACTAGAGTAAAATGCCTTTTGAGTTGCAAAACATTTTGGCACCATCTGCGGTTGGGTAGATGATTGCCCTTTTAAAGTACATGGACCATATTGTGACATTAGAAAGACGGAGGACCACTCACAGGATCTTCATTCAGAAAAGAGACTAGGGGAGTGTCTTTCAGAGTATCCATCCACTTCCTGTCCCACGCAGCCTCCAACTCTCTGATGGTACTCTTGACCTCAGGAATTTCTTCCTTGGAAATCCTCTGTCTTGGAAAAATAAATCATTAATACACTGGTTCTCAACGCATCTATCCCTCAGTTAACAAGCAAATACCATTCAGATTATTCTTCCATGCTTACAAATGTTCCAACTATCGCAGTTTCCATATCACAAATAAAAGATCAACCTAAAAATTAAGATGCATATTTGAGAAAACGAAAATAGCAAAGTTACAGCACACGTGGGTCAATGTATACCTGATGAGGTGAAGGTTCCACAGCGCTCGGGCCATCTGCCGACATTTCTCCTGCAGTTGCTGAGGACTGAGCTCAGGCTTTGGGGCATGAGAGACCCGACCGCGCTCCTCCCTCAGGAGCTGCAGCGCGTGTTTCATCAGCTCCAACACGCACAGGAGGTTCAGCTGGCCGGCCTCATACACATTCCCTGAACTCAACTGGGAAAACACGCACATTCAAACCACAGCTACGGTGAGACTCGTCAATGTGATGCTAAGTAACAAGAGTGAACCGACTCATATCTTCATTCCTACCGGATGTGGGAGCTGTTCAATTCTCTCCAGCAGAACGCGAGGAATTCTGAGCACTCGATCCGTCCCGTCCAGGATGTACTGATCTACATCCCCCTTCAAAACACTTTCCACTACATGCTGCTCCTCCTTGGTAGTTGACAGCATTCCATCAATGTCTGACCACAAGGAGCGCACCTTAAAGACAAACAAGTACGCATGTAAGCTCCAGGAAAAGTAAACAAATGCGTTTAGGCTTTGCAGGAAGTTTAACAAACATTAAATACCCGTTTGGTCTTCTCAGCTACAGGAACTCCCTCCTGTGTCGAATCACTGCTGTAACGCCTGAAAGTAGAAAGACAGGTTGAACTACTGGACTCAGTCATAAGTACGGGGGGAGGGAGAAAAAGTCATACATACTTGAGTAGCTCATCATACTTGGCCCCCTCTGCTCTTATGTCCCTCATAGACTTCACCAGGAGCCTTCAAAAAAGGGAAAACAAAAAAAAACTGCTTAAAGAAAGAAAGGTGCAGTAGAAACCAACTTCCACGTGCAAAATAAACCTGTCCATGGCATGTTTAACACGCAATCTTCTAGAATCTTCAACATAATGTTGCTGTCTGTGCACATTTCAAGAGGCCCTTTTCCCAGCAGACATGTGGCATGTGATAGCAGAAACAGCACGGGAGTAACTGATAATATGGGTGAGCTGGCTCACTGACTTCATGTAAGGGAGCGGTCGTTAACTGAATTAGTTTCAGCTTTGATTGTCCAGCTATGGCGAGTCAAAGTGTCTGAAACAAGGACACTGATTGCGAACACCTGCTGCTGCCAACTGGCCTCGTTAACCACGAGTTTACCAATTAGTTCACAAGAAACAGGTGGTGATTGAAACAAATATCCAATTAAAAATACAACATCAAGAGCGATGACCAAAGACTCCAACAGAAATACCTCATTGCAGTGATAGAAAATAAAATGAATCAAAGTAAACCAAACAAGAACAGAATAAGCAATAGAAATAATATGTCCACATACTGAAAGCAACAGGTCATACAGCGAATATATTAAACATGCCTTATGAAATAGTTTTCCCCCCCCAACATGGTTATTAGTCTCAAGTGAAGTTCGTTTTATTTGAATTTCATTCAATTTTGTTTTATTTACAACTGAAATTGATTTTCTACTATGTGTATTAACACTTCTTTTTAATGCCAGACTTGAGAAAGTCAGAGAAATTGGATTTCATAACCTGACAAGTGGTATGTTGAGAAGATTTACTGTAGTAACGTTAGTGAAGTCTAAGGCTTTCTGGACCACGAAGGACTCACTGTGCTCGTCTCTGGTACTCGTGAAGAAATCGATCCTGAGATACGGCAGCCTTCAAAAACCTGGTATGGATCAGGCTGAGCCTCTTCACGGCCATGTCCAGGGAGGAAGCAGGCATCGCTGCAGCCTCAGGAACCCAGCTGTCATCTGACAATATTCAAGTTTATGTGATATGAAAAAGAAAGAGAGTGAAACAATGCCTGGCCATTGCTGTGTCACTCTACACTTTCGGATTTAAGTCAGATTGTGTAATTGAGCAGTTGGTACCATCCAAAAATGAGATGGTTTTCCAACTAGACCTACCCGTGGTGAGTGTCTTCATTTCTTGCAGCATGACGTGATTGGCCAAGTGAAGCATCAAACTGATAAACTTGGGGCCCCCGGGTGAGAGGAACAAGGATGCTACCACTTTGGATCCTGCGTTTGCAGTTTCATCCTACACACAGATTAAAAAAAGACGATCGAGTCACTAAATTATGCAGTAAACCAAACAACAAGCTCTTGTGTCAAATATATTTTCTTTCCATTTTAGATATTTGAACAGTGATGGAAAAATCTACATACAGTGCTGGTGAGACAGGAAGTCTAATGTTTACATCTACTGCAGTAGACAAATGTCTATTTATGTCCCTTTTTATGTTGTACAAAAACTACACAAACATTCATGGTAAGGAGAGGATGAGAGTGAGGAGCAGACATGGGTGAAAGGAAAGCCGGGAAGGAATTAAACAAAGGGGAAAAAAGATGGACACAATTTCCCCTCTGTGAGGACACAAATGAGGTATATAGTCTATAAACTAATCTATAATAAAGTTTATAAAATGGACATAGCAGTTAAACACTCTTACCATTATTTCTCGCAGCCAAGCGCAGGTAACTTTGCGGAACTCAGCATCTACTTTGTGGCTCAAAACAGGCCAGCAGTGCCTAACCAAAAACAAATTAATTTTTTTTGACAATAAATAACAGGCAATTTTATACATGAATAGCAAAAAGATGATTTCTAACTTTACCTGTATGCCTCATTAAAACGTGTCGGGTCGAGTCTCTCCAACAGGAACTGGGTGACTATGTAGAAGGCATCCTTGTTTGGTTTGTCGAACATATTCCTACAGACCACACAATAAGTTAAGTTAGCAAACATTAACTGTCAATATCACACTGTGTTCATATGCTAACGCTATCCACAATAAACTCACGGTCCCAGGTTAATGCGTTTAACATTGCTGGTTTGGCCAGCGATGGACGACACCGCAGTGTCTGGTGTAAGTCCGAGCCCAACAAGAGAAAACCACAGACATCTTCCACTCTTCTTCTGCAACAACACCGGGTTCGCCATTATTCCGAGATGGAAGAAGCAACGTGAGCGGGGCACAAAGCCTGCCCGGCTAACTTAGCTTAGCATTAGCTGCTAGCTACAGAGTTCACTGTTGGCTAAAGGTGTGCTAGCTTCCGGACTTGTTTGGAGTTTGTCACAAACTGCTAAATAATCAACAAACACTGCAAAGGAAAAGTCACGAGTGTTATACGAGTAGGTCCAGATAAGCTACATTAGCTTTCACACGTGTTAAAACTAAATCTCACAAAGTTTCGTCAGGAATAAGAAAGCGTAACAGCAAGAACACAAACCGCCAATTTTTTTCCAATAGTCACCCGGATGTTGTTAACAACTACTTCCGGAGAAGGAGCAAACGAGAAAGCACGAGTTTCTGTTATGTTTGGTGCGTTTATTTATGTTACGTCATATAAGAAAGATATTTCTAATATATATAATTATGTGGGGGCCTCGTGATACTTAACCTAGTGTAACTTTAGATTGTGGACAAGGCGAGCTGGTTCTACTGTACTAAAAGTGGACCACATTAAAGGCTTTAGACCAGTGATTCTTAACCATGGGGCCACCTAGAGGACCGCAAAAAACGTTCAGTTTTGCACCCGTGGGCCGCGAGGGCCGCGGGACCGCATAGGTTATCAATTAAAGACACCAGAGATATTACTGTTCTCCATGAGACGCTCAGTTACAATATAGCTAACCATCACCCGGTGGCGGTAATGCGTCAGTCAGTTGATTAACAAGCTACAATAAGCAGAAGAAGACACTCAGCTGGCCGCTAGCCCAGGCATGGGCAAACTACGGTCGTTGGCCTTTTTAATCCGGGCCGTCAAATATTGGTACAAAATTGTCCAAACTACAATGAAGACTAGAGCTGGGCAGTATACCGGTTTTAATTTCCCGTATGATATGAATTCTTCATACACACCATTATACCGGTGCATAGCCAAAACAACTGCTGTCTGTTTTCAACAGGTAGCTAAATGTATTCTTCGCTGCCAACGCATAGCGGGCAGCGCTAGTTGTCTTATATGTATTGAGAGGGAACCCTAGTCATGGTCATAACTTTATAACACAACAATTAACAACCCACAACTAATGCTCTTTAACAGAGAAAAACACAACAGCACACAATAGTCTGTGACACATAAACAATTTGTAACACTAATAATTGTACATTTATAAAATTTCACCGCCGAACTGCACGCTGGGTACAGCTCGCGAGCGAGCCTGCTTGCTAGCACAACAGTCTGCTAACAGCTTGGAGAGGCTCCGTCGCTCCAGTAACGTTACATTAAAGAACAGAACAGAGCGATGCAGGATGAACAAAGACAGACCGGAGCAGTGTTACATCAGTGTTACATCATTTAATGAATCATAAACATTATATGATTTAACCACTAGAGGGCAGCAGTGTTAAATCA